AGAAATCAGCTCTTGTTGGTAAGCACTAGTGCTTCCCCAAGTTCAGCAACTGATCTGTTCTCTTCTCCTCCTGCATCAGAGGGCCTCATTCAGCTTTCTCCTGTCACCCAGATCATCTGTGTCCAGTGCTCCCACTGTGCTCAAGTCTTGCCTACTGTCTCCGATTACACCACAGTACTCTGCTGAAGCCACAACCTTCAGGAGAGCGTGACAATGGCCCCAAAACAGCTGCAGCATCTACTTTGAAAGTGAGGCAAAAAAGACTCCACCCTGAAATGGAGAAAATAAAAGGCTGCCAAATGCTAGCATCAGGCTCTATAACAAGCAGGTGTTGCTTTACTGCTATTGTCTGTGAAAAAAAACCCCAAAAACCAGCCACTTACTTACAATTTAATTACAAAGAACAATTAGATACCTGACATCAACCTTTCATTGAGAGGCAGCTCAGATTTTGGAGCAACTTCTGAGCCCTGCTGACAAAACCAGTCCCACCTGCTCCCTCCTCAGCATGCACAGGACTTGACAGCATGACACATCATGGAATCTTCCACCTCTCCATCTCGTGACTCCATCCCAGCCACCAAGGGAGTTCATGCTTGCTTCTGACTCCAATGCAGAGATGGTGAGCATGGTTCACCTCAAATCACATGAATACAGTGGCCTAGAGTTAGCTCTGCTCTGGCCATGACACAGAGTCTCACAGGGGAACTATGCTATGATACCTCCACCTGTACCTCTGAAGGTGACTGGCACGTAATCCTTGCTTCTTCTCACCTTCAATGTGGGAGACGGACAGAGTAGAGGCTCGTGATCTCCTCCCTGTTCTGATACCTTAGGAAGGGGGCAGCAAGGCAGGCAGATGTGCATTTCCTCTCCACAGCAGACCTCTTGCCAGTCCTCCAGCATCTCTCAAAGCTCCCCAATAGTTTTGCAGTGTGCTTTTGGAGAAAGGTGCTAGGCTCACATACAGTATCTTTGCCTGTGACTTTCTGTCTGTTGTCACATTTTTAATCTGTGAAAACCCAGATCATCTTGTCTTGCTTGTGACAGCATTCTTCCCATTTTCTGCAACGGACGAAGCCCCTGGCTTTCTTATGTCTGCATTCACAAAGGTAACTTCACAGGCAGGAATAAAAGAAAACCACCGGTCAAACACAACCTTCCCCAAACCCCAAACACCAAAAGGATCACGCACTGGACATCAGGACACCTTGTGCAGATCACAGCCTGGAAGAGCCCAGGATGGCCCAGACCCAGCCTAGTGCAGGGTAAGAGAAGACAGCAGCAGGGCAGTTAGCAGGTGCATATGAAGGCAAGCTTGAAAAACCCAGTCATAGTTGTCCAAGCAAAGCACACGTGTCTACTATCAGAGAGATGGCAAACCACCTCCACCCCCCAATCCCAACTCACTTAATAGCTTATGGGACATGAACAGCATAAAACTCTTCAGTCCAGGGGCTTCTTGTTGGTCACTCAGAGCAGGGATATGTGTTTCTTAGCCTGGCAGGGATACTTTTATTTACATATAGTGCAAATGTAAAAGAAAAAAAAGAAAAGAAAAAAAAAAATCAACACACCACTTATCAGCCGAGAGGATGACTGCAGCCTCAAAGCACACTGAGATTCCAGCTCAGATGCCAATTCAGTTACTATTTCACCCAGCTACAAAACTGTTTCAAACACAAAAACTTCCTTAAAAGGACCCTATCAAGGCATTTTTATATCACTTTTATTCACTGTTAGCAATACATCCTCAGAAGACTGAACCCAGAATCTCTATTCTTATTAACCATTTCTATAGACACTAGCTTGTTCTTAGAGAATTTCTGTGTGTACTACCAATGGAAGTTACAGAGTGTGCGCACACAGGATCGAGAGGGAAGGGAAGGACAGGAAACGCAAGGATTAATCCTCAACTCATGAACAACCAAGTCGCCTCTTTGAAGGGGATTCCAATAAAAATTTTGGATGACCATCGGTTTCATGAATGACGACACAGATTGCACAACCAGACACATAGCCAGACTGCACTTCCATTTTTGAGCACAAATTTGGCAGTGTCTCCACAGAAATATTTCCCTTATTAAGGTCAACAGGCTGCAAAGCAGTTCTTCAGTGCAGTCCTAAAAAGACCACAGCCCTATTTAAGAATTAGCAGCGTTGTAATTGCCAGGGATTTCCGCTGGAAGAGCTTGGAAAGAAACAGACATGTCCCTCACTACATATTTTCTTAACATTAGACCCATCTCTTTCCTACACTCTGTTAAAAATGATGCCAACCACGATTCACTTGCACGACAGCAAGCTTGGCAGCACAACTTTAAACACACGCACCTCCTGATCAACAAAATCAGGAGGAAAAAAACAAGTCTTCAGCTTCACGATTGCCATTTAGGGGCTCCTAAACAGTCTTTTATTCATAGAGCAGATACACAGCAAAGAATATTTTAGATTAAACGCAGACATACAGGCCTCCCCAAACCAAATGATGGTTGACATTTTTCATACAATCCAGGTCATAGCTGGGCTAGATTTAAGCATCATCCAAGATGACAAGCAGATTTCTCAATTAATTGAAGCCTTTAATCACTCTTCAGCACTTCCACAGATCAGCCCTGCCTTTGAAACGCATTTGTCTTCTCAGCACGCTCT